TCAAAGACGTAGCGGCTAGTGTCTCCTTTGAATGGTAGAATCTGTCTTCTGCCGAATTGCCGCATTACCCTACTAGGATTGTAAGGTCGTACCCCTCTAATGCCAGGAAGGATTAGGAAAGGACACTTAGCCCCCTGAATAGCTATTTTTTCTGACATGAAATCTTGAAACATCCATTGTACGTCTTCCTCTTTTATGTCATGGAAGACTTTGGCCCATGATTCCCTAGTATTGTGGATCTTGAACCTGTTGTTGCTCAAATGAAACTCGTAATGGTCGAGGTGGCTTTCTTTTTGTGGTTCGGCCAATTTTTGTTTCTGAGTCTCGTATGTCTTCACCAGATGTTTAGACATCCACCACTGTAGCAAAATATTACAACCTTGAAAAAATGGAAACCCATTTTTGCATTGACCCAAAGATTGGTAGATGTCAGCCAGAATGATCGGGGCTAGGTTGAAGTATTTCTTAATTTGTCCTTTCTTACCAACACCCTAGAAGATGGCGTGTGTAACCATGACAACCCGAGTATCAATTTCATTCCCTTCACCTTGAGGAAATACCATCGTCCCTAAGAGGCATACAGCAAATGCTAAAGTTTGAGTTTGACTCCAACTACTGCGACTGAGAAACTAATTTGGAAAATTCTTATAATAGTTCTCGTGTCCCCACCGTTCGTAGAATTTCAGAAACGGAATACTCGGGGTGTCTAGCCAATCTGCATTTACTAGTAACAACATGTTCTTCAGTTCTGTGCTGGTCGGCTTATCTGGTAGCAAAATGTGGTGATCTGAATGATTTTTCCTTTTCTGGCACATTCCGACATTGTCTAGGCAATCTCTGATTTCTTCAACAGTTGGTGTCATTTCAACATCTCCGAAGCGAAACACCATCCTCTCATCGTCCCAAAATCGAGTGACCACCTCAATGAACTTAGGCCAGACTCTGAGATTCATTATTGACGGGAGGTGACCTAAGTGAATGGAGAGTTCTCTTTTTTGATATGCATTGAGATTGTACCACCATACACGGAGGAGGTTTGGCGTCTCGGTGACCATTTTGAAACTCAAGTGTTGCTTAGCCATCTACAAAAACATACAAATAATTAGATAACCCCCAAACCCAAGACACAACACTTTGTCAAATAGCGCACACATCCTTCAAACACGTAAGTATGTGCGTCCGTTCGGGCCGTGGGCCCTTTGGACTTAAGGTGGTCTTTCTAATGGACCCGACACGCCTTGGGTATTGGGTCATCATAGGCCAATGCGCTAAATTTCAGGGATTTGGTCTTGCTCTATCCTAGTATGACTAAGAGTGGGTTTTCTTTAAAGTGGATTGGTGACCCAAGCGGACTACTTGGGCTGAGACAATTAACGACCGTTGATTATCCAGTAGCCAACTACATTCGTCAGGGTGTCCCGAGAACAATTTGGTTAACGAACGACTGCGGCCCGCATAATCGTCCTTTAAGTGAAAAGAAAAAAAAATGTCATTTGACAGAATAAATAATATGCATGCAATGACAGTTGATATCACAATTTAAGCAAATAAGGCACATTTGAGGTAAAACAATTCAACAAATATTAGCAAATAGTCAAAGAGAGTCAAGTCATTATGGTTAGAACCTAATTGAATCCCCAGCGGAAGTCGCCATTTCTGTTGTGCCGTAATTTAACTATTTCTAGAAAAATCACTTTTTTTTTAAAATGTTCTAAGTATAAAAAAAAAACAATTTGAGAAAAAATACTTAGAAAGAGTCGCCACTTAATTTTTTAAAGAAATTAAGAAAACTTATAATTTTTAATGATTTAAACAGAAAAAATCATTTGAAAATGCCAAAGGGAGTTCGGGGTTCAATTTACACTTTGAGAAGGGTTTAAGCATTCGAAGTGTCCGCTAACATGCGGTTGACCTGCGACTTGACTTAAAATATATTTGACTATTTTTAGAAAAAATAATAACATGAAAATATATAATAATTTACACTAATCGATTAAGTTTGAAAAAATAACTAAGAAATGAACCATTTTATTCTATCTTTTAGAGGAAGAGACCTAAAATGAAAATATTTGAATTAAGGTGCAAGTGATTAGAAAATTAATAAAACTAGACTAATTAGAATTTATTTAGTTCAAAAAATAAATTAAACCAATTTAATAAATTAAAGCATGAAAAATCATTTTATTTTTTTTTGAATTAATTGATTAACCCTTTTGAGAAAATGACTTAAGTATATATATATATATATATATATATATATATATATATATCTTCTTCTTTTTTTTCATCATTATTATTAATCAATTGAAAAAGGTTTTGACTAACACATTTTTAAAGTTTATTAAAAATAAATAAAATATATATATACTTTAACTTAGAACAATTTTGAAATAAAAAAAATGATTTAAATGAAGAAAAAACCCTTAAAGAACGTATCTATAAAAATATTTAGGAAAATAATTTAACATAAGATATATAATATTTTACGATATTCGATTAACTTTGATAAACATAGTTAAATAAAGAATAATTTTTAATTTTTTTGGAAAATAGGATCTTAATTGAAACAACTTGGTCAATTAGGATTTTAACAAAATTAGATTAATTAAAATTATTTACGTCATTTTTATTTATTTATTTTTAGAAATAATAATTCGAACCAACTTGGTAGATAAACCAAGAAATTATTTTAATCTAAATAAAGATATGTGAAAGTTTTGACTAAAAAAAAATATTTGAATAAGTATAAGAGTTGATAAAATGAATTATTTTTAAAGAAACTAACATAAAGAATATGGTCATCTTTTGGGGAATTCAACTAAGTTGATTAAAAATTCTAAAGTTAGAGTTAAACAACAAATAATAAGTAATCGCAATTAAATAATTAAAGCGTAAGGGAGAAATTGAATTTGGGCCTTTCTTGGGCCAAATTCGCTACTGTTTTTGGGAATTTTACTCAATCCCGTTTTTGTATACACTTGATGTATATCAGTGTATATCGGCATGTATATCAGCCCTTTTCATGTATATCTTGCTTCCAAACTCATGTATTTCGCATCAGCCCTGTATCCCTGCGTTTTTTACCTATATATCGATGCATATAGCTGTATACATCTTGTATACAACCCCTTTTCGAACTTTTCAAGCTCTGTTTCAGCTTCCAATTTCTCGAAATGATGAGTTCAACTCGACAAGAAGTAAGATTGGGCCTCCGTGGCCCAACTCGATATGCAAGGAGGGAGGGAGGGAGTTCAGTGAGCTCAACCGCAACGATTTAATCCAGAAAAACATAAATAAAAAAAAGAAAAAAGAACAAGAATTAGCAGAAGAGGAATGCAGATAGCAAATTGATTCAACTAAAATAAGAATATCATAGCATTTAAAGCTAGCAAAGAGGTTATTCACAGAATGGTCAAAACTCAATATAATGTTAACATTCTAACCATGGTACAACACGACTTTGACTAAATCAAAATAGATTCTACGACGAACTAGAGGCAAATAAAATTAATATGGCCACAATACTTAGATAATCCTAAACTTAACCCTAATCTTGGAAGGCATCAGGGTGGAATGTTAGTAAAATCATTTTTTATTTAGCCAACTTTCCACTTTATGGTCACAACTTTAATGAGCTTTAAACAAATAAACAATAGATCAATTATAAGGAAAGGAGAAGATAAACCAGCAGCTATCAAAACAGAACAGAAGCAAAACATAAACTACTTTGATAATTGTTGAAGTGAATCCTACGACCTCCTACTTACCGACATCGTAATCTTTATGAGTTTGAACAACAAAGCCAACAAGATAAGAAGATTACTAATAAGAAACAAAAATAATAATAATAAATAAATAAAATGATCCATTACATTTTACTTAAGCATTTTTTCGACTAAAACTTAGACTAAATGGAGACATAAATTCGATTAAAACAGGACATGTTACACGAATGAGATAATAAATCCCAAGCAATTGAGAGAAGCGGAAGAAAGAGACATTCAAAACCAACTTGATTACGGATGGCAAGATTCAATTTTAGCATGATTTACGGATGAAGATGATAAAGACATACAACTGAGAAACTAACTAGCAATAATAGATCATTTTAATAAGGCGAGTTTAGCACAAGAAAATGCTCCAGAGATTTGGAAATGACCAATTTATTGATTCAAGTTAACTCGAATTACCCGATAACGAAAGATACGTAATCAACATTATTAAATAAGAGATTTAGAGGTGCAGCAACCATCAGGTGGATTATGGAATTTACTCTTAAAAGCAACTCACATGATTTATACTAGTTAGAATAACAAGAAGAAAAATAGAACGAAACCGACTCAATGCCATACGGAATTAGTAAAGCTTCGAGCAAAACAAACCAAAAGAATAGTTGAATCAACAAACAAGCTTATGTCAAAGTTTTGCAACCAACAGTAAGTCATGACACTCCCAGGATACCAACATCTAACACTACACAACTATCAAAAGCAAATCGTCCTTACATTAGGCACAAAAGAGGCGTGAATCAAAGACGAGTATTACCTTTTATGGGGCAGAGAACTGGACGACAACAAGCTTGAGGGGCAGCGATTCTTTTACCACGAGCTTCGAATAGGAACAGCAAGCTAAGAAAATCCAAGCGTCAACCCTCTCGTAACTTAGATTCAAAAGATAGATGTAAAGTTTTCAAGTGTATGAGTGATTATTGTCTAAGAACTAAACTCTAAAACTCTTTTGCCAACTTATTTATCGTGTATGACCTCAAATCCAAATTAATTTTTTTTTTCGTCCCCCCTGTCACTTGTATGTAAAGAATTATTTATAGGGGAAGTTGGGGCAATTTAGGTCAATGAAAATTGGACGAGGGCAAGGGCAGAAACGGAAATTACCATCCAATCTTTGATTCAAATTTTCCCAAGGACCAAGGAACTGCTGCTTGTACAAGATTTCAACCGAAATCCCCTAAAATCTGGATGACAAGATCAAGGTGGGCGGCTATGGCAGATAAAGCTGTGGGAGCTGTTGCTTGTTGACGCGTGAGGGAGAAGAAAACACGTCCTGCTGCTGTCTGGTTCACACGGAGAAGAAGAGAAAACGCAGGGGTGGGGCATTCGGCTACTGTTTGCTGTTGTTGTATGTATTGTATCGCTTTTGGTTAATTGGGAATTGTTGTATGTATTATGCTGCTGGGAATGGGTTATTGAATTGAAGGGATTTGGGTTGGGTTTGTATTGTATGTTGGGTTGGGAATTGGGAATAAGAGTGGGCTGCTGAATGGGTCAATGTTTGGGCCCAATTTGGTTGAAAATCGGCCCAATTGTGGTCTTGTATGTGGAAAAAAAAGAAGAAGCTTAGATTGGAATTTAGAATTTGGCCCATTGGATTGCAATTATAGCCATTGAATTAAAGACTTAGCCAATTTGAGTTAATTAGTGAAATCGGCTAAAATTTAAATAAAACGAATTAATATTAATTAATTAACGAGCTTCTTAATCTTAATCAAATAAAATAATCAATTTTTAAAAGGTTAACTATTAATTAATTAAACTAATTGGCAAAATTTAAAGGAACACTAAAACCTTTTGAGACGATCTTCAAATAAGATATACTAATTATATACATAACTATAAAAACGTATTTATTATTTTATTTTTTTTAAATTGACAAAACTTACATACAAATAACTCAAAAAATATTTCGAATTTCATAAAAGCTAATTAATTCAAAATTATAGCCATCATTTTAAAAATACACTAAAAACATAAAATCTTTTGGGATGATTTTCGAATATTTATAGGATATACTTATTTCATACATAATTATATAAAACATATATATTATTAAAAAAAAAATACAAAAAGTGATAGGCTATTTAAAAACTTGCAAATTTATTTTATTTTTTGAAAATTTATGAAACTAATTATTTTAAATTGTTTGAAATTGAAGAAGCTCGATGATTAATCTATAATGTGGAGGTCCAAAATTAGGTGTCAACATTCAGTACAAAATTGAACACATAAAATATGATTTTTAGACATCAATAATAGAAACAACATTGAGAAAAACATATTAAATAAACAGTGACAGAACAAAGATTTTCACTAAAAGGGGTTCAAGATATGAAGAACTAAACACACGAATGTTCAACATATACTATATATACATATAAAAAACTATTTAGATCATATGTATAAATAGTGTAATTTTCCGTCAAAGAGGGTTTGAATGAACCCTTTCGGCCTTACCTGACTCCCCGATAAATAAAACAGATGGGTTAAGAATGATCCTTTCAACTTCATCTAATATCATATTCTATTAAGATTGTGCTTTGTAATAACAATATATATAAGTGAATAGATTCATTTTCTAATCAGGGTGGCTTACATTTTTCCTTAAACTTTTGTAACCCATTAAATTATTGTGCCAGGTAACTTTTACAAATCTCTATGACTTCATTGCATTATACGTTAGCTTCTAAATAACTTTAGGAAATAACTGTTCAAATACATTTTATACTGCAACATATGAATCTGATATGATCCATAATTATACATGAAAGGTAACTTTTCAAATTACTTATCTATTTTTTTTCAAATTAATTAAGAAAATCAATGCATTGATTTTGAAAGAATACATTCTACCTGCATTTGAATCTAGTCCATATTATTGAACCATACAAATAACCTTTCAGATTCTTAGCCTTTTGAGAGTAACTAAGAAATTTAATGCATTGTTTTTTAAAAGAATGAATTGTATTAATTTAACAGCTTCTCACTTTTAGTATTTAGTATAATATAATACTTAATATTTAAATAATTAAATAATTAAATATTTTATAATATTATGATTGAATGTAGGGGTAAAAGGATAATCCAACTTTGCACTTAGGAGTTTCCCATATGATGATGATATATACATTATTTTATCAATCATAACTTTTCAAATTCTTCCGTTATGAGAATTATGATTATGATTAAAAGTAATATCATTGTACTCATTTATCAAGAAAGTAATAATTTAATTATTAAAGGGCTTGAGGACTTAAATTCTACCATTATGTAATTAAAATATTTATATTTAATTAAATAATTAATCAAATTTTAATTTAGTAAAAGGGCAATATGATAATTCAACTTTTTACTTTAGAGCTTCCCACTTATAATATATAGTAAAAATTAGGCAAATCACATAGTATAAGAAGGAAATTACTTCCTATCTCTACTCTTTCATTAATTACCAAAAATCCCTTTTTTAGTGTCTTTCGGATACATAATATAGCAGCGCAAATACTTTAATCAATAAAGGGCGGATACTTAAATTATTAAGTTGTTGGCACGGATACTTTAATTAATAACGGGCGGATACTTAAATTAACGGGCGGATGCATAATATAGCAGCGCGGATACTTTAATTAATAACGGGTGGATACTTAAACTAATAAAGTATCCGGTTAAGTTGAATTGGGGGAAAATAAGGGATTTTTGTATTTTAGTAAAAGAGTAGGGAAATATTGAGAATAGGTAAAGTAATGTTGTGTACTTAAGTAATTTGTCCTAATATATATATATATATATATATATATATATATATATATATGTGTGTGTGTGTGTGTGTGTATGATTTGTCATATTTACCTTCATATTCTTAAAAAATCATATTTATCCGTAGTCCCATACAATGTTAAATCTCTATGTTTTCAACATATTTGTCATTTTCACCAACTTTAGAGTCATATTTACCTTATACTCTAAAAAATCATATTTCATCCCACGGAAAAGAGAGAAAAATTTATAATTTATTTATGGATATGATAACATGTTGTTATTATTATAACATTACTAACTTGTTTTGAAATATTCATCATCTAAATTATGATTAGAATCTTGATATAATGTTAGCCATTGATTTTCCTTTGTCATGTGTCTTCGAAACTTGAGCAAAATAGGAAGAAGAGAAATGAATTAAGTAGTAAGCAGAAGGAATAACGTGCTGACCTGATTCTTTATTCATGGGTCAAGAACGTGAAACTTTTTACTATATGAATCGGGGAGGATTTGATCTTGAAAGTCTGCTCTAATACCATATTGAAATATGTGATTATATCATCCAAAAAATTTAATCTGCATATTTTTATTATTTAATTGTATTTAAATTTCTTAGTAGGCGTTTGGATCTAAATTCAGTGATATCTTCTTTTTTTTAAAATATATTATTTGACATTAAAGTTGAAAAATGATTGTATTTGGAGTTTGAAGATGCATTTCAAGAACAATGTTTAGACAAGTACAACAGCTTATATTAATTTCATGATGATCAGCGCAAGGAGAAGTGGTAAATTACATTCCTGGGATTAAGCCAATTCGCGTAAAGGATCTCCCATCTTCATTCAACAGCAAACGCCAGGAGATGTTGCCCTTGCTTCTCCAAGTTGTATCACAACTAACCAATAAAGCACAATATGCCTTGTTCACCACCATTGGAACATTGGAATCTCAAGTAATTGAGGCTTTACAAGCTGAATTTCCAGTCCCCATTTTCACTGTCGGTCCAACAATCCCTTACTTGGATACCGAATTCAACACTAACCAGCCTAGTCCAAACTACATGTCATGGCTTGATGATCAACCTAAGGACTCTGTTCTATACATATCCCAAGGAAGTTTCATGTCTGTATCAAAAGAACAGCTAGATGAAATTATAGCAGGTGTGCACAGCAGTGGTGTCCGAACATTTTGGGTGGCACGTGAGAATGCATCCTTACTTACGGATGGAATTGGGAAGAGGGGAATCGTGGTGTCTTGGTGCGAGAAATTGAAAGTTTTGTGCCATCCTAGTGTAGGTGGATTTTGGTCGCATTGTGGATGGAATTCAACCAAGGAAGGTGCATTTGCTGGTGTGCCATTTCTTACGTTCCCTATTGGCGGTGATCAAGTTACAAACAGTAAACAAATAGTGGAGGACTAGAAGATTGGGTGGAGGATCAATAAGGAAAGCGAGAAATTGGTTAAGAGAGATGAAATTGCTCTGCTTTTGCAGAGTTTTATGGACCTTGACAGCAATGAAGGAAAAGAAATGAGAAGAAGAGCAATGGAAATAAGGAACACCTGCCTAGAAGCAATTGAAGGGGGCACCATCCAAGGAAATATTGACAAGTTCATTCGGGATATTTCTCGAGGCCCAAGGCAATAATGTTCGGTTTATAGAGAAGTTATGCAGAAATTATGTATGAACTAAACAATATAAAAATTATTTCTATAATATGTTACACATGCGAAGAGTATCTAACATTTTCTTCGCCCTAAACTGCTAAGCATGTAATATGGCCCAAACTTTTGCAGTACTAGCTACTACTTGTTGAATAAATAAAGTGGCAAGAGGACACAAACAAGCTGCACTTAGAAGTTCCTGCCTGCTGTTATTCACAGGCATCCTGCCAATGTTTCAACATGCTGCTTTGGTGGTGAAAGAAACGAGTACCAACTACTTGAGTTCAGGAACCAGGTTCCTTACTCATAACTGAAAGTGGTAAAAGAAAAATAACACAAGTTTTATCGTGGAAAACCTCCTTACTAGTAAAAACCACGACCTACCATGGGTAGGATTTCATCAACCAGTGTTGAAGACTCTTTCCTCTTTTACCTTCTACTAGTCTCTGGGCACACGCAACGCACGTGTACCCCATACGTCAATAAGTAAAAACTCTTATAAAGTTAAATAACTATTATTTTAAAATGTAATACCAACTTAACCTCAGATGAATCCATTTTACTATTTTCATCCTTTAAAAACAAGGGTGAAATTATAATATTATAATATTGGATCGATCTTGTGCATATATAACTTTAAAACAATGAACCAAACCTTCCAAATATAATTTATAAAAAATCACAAAATGTCAAATCAAATGAATTTGATTCATTTAATATAAGCTAATCAAACTTAATCATGTAGGACAATGTAGAAGTCATACTTGATATTTCTAACCTTATGAATTCATCTTCCTCAAAATTCTATTCGGTGTTTCTAAATAAAGTGAAGATGTCAAACTTGCTATACACTCTATTGTTAATCTCAGATCATAGATAGACTAATTTGAAAAAAATATATTAATGATCAAAATCTTACTAACAAACAATAGACGATGGAAAAAGAGGAGATAAGTAAGAACTTTACCATAGGAGTACGTAGAACTGCTAGTGGAAGAACCCAAGATGACAAATTCGTATTTGGTAATGGTATATATTGATTTAACTGCAACTTCATATTCTTTAATTTAAGATTAAAAGGGGGAAAACCTTGATTAATGTACTTATTTAAGAACAATTATTTTGTTTTAATTATTTTACCAATTACATATGACTCTTAAAATTCTAGAAATCTTAATTGACTCTTGTCCTTCTACATTACCTTTCTAATAAATAACTTACCATTCAAAAAATAATTAAAATATTATTATTTAATATTTATTTAATAGATGTTTAAACTAATAGATAAATATAAAAAAAATAAACATAGAAGAAAAAAAATAACATACGCATCCTTCTTAAGACTTTAATCATAACATTATATAAATGAAAAAATAAACACAAAATCGGTACATAATTTTTCAAGTTTTTGTCGATACCTTGTCTCATATCCAATCAAAATTCAAAAGTCTTCTCCATCGAGTCAAACTAAAGCATGAATCAAATAGAAAAATCACTTTATTTTCATAAAGTGATATATAATCAGACTAAAATAGATATATCATATACTTTAGGTGTTGATGGCTTCACCACTTTAACTATAAAATGAAAGGATAATTTTGGATGTAAGTTTTTTTTTTTTTGGTAACTATGTTTTATATTAATTACCAGTAGCAAATCATTTCAAATCAAGCAGCTATCACAGCATGCTTATTTCTCATAATTGCCTCTCTTTAGACTAAAGCTCTACCTTACCTATTACTAGAATGTATACTCATCTAGAATACTAGGCTGGGATCTAATAATAGAAACGTAAGCTATCTCTTTGGCCACACTTCCTACTATTCTGCTCTTCTGCACAAAGATTCTATTACTCCCTCCGTCCACAATTGTTTGGCAAGTATGTTAAAAATAGATGTCCAAGATTAATTGTCAATTTAAACAATCAAGAAATAATTAGTCACTTTTTTCCAATTCTGCCCTTAATGATTGTGTAGTTCAATTGAAAAGTTATGTGGACTTTTGGTATTTTTTATATAGTAGGGTTATATTAGTCAAATTACACTTTGTATTAAATTTTCCTTAAGGGATGTGCATGACCTTACCCTGACAAACAATTGTGGACGGAGGGAGTATTTCTCTCAATCCATATTCCATACACACATTCCGCCATAATGATCTTGAAGATGCGAGCTGAAATAGTCTTTCCTTTTGCATGTTGTATACTCCAGTGCATAAATTGCTCCCAGTTAGTAGGCAGCATGTCAAGCAGTGGCGGAGCCAGAATTTTTAATTAGGAGTTTAAAATATGAAAAAAACAGACACACGAAATAGCCTAAGGGGATCCAACATCTACTATATATACATAAAAAATTATTTTAACCATATAAAAATAATATAATTTTCCGCCGAAGGGGAGTCGGATGACCCCCTAAAGATAGGGTGGCTCCGCCACTGATGTCAAGTTGGTGCACCCATTTTATCAATCTGCTCCATAACCTGATGGCAAAGTGACAATTAATAACCAAATGCTCTATGGTTTAGGGGTGCAACTTCTTATGAAGCATGAGCCACATGATGAAATAAGCTTTCGGTCTCGCAGCATTTTTAAACATAAGGCATTTCCAGTCAATCCTCTGTTGTTCCACTATTAAAGACAAATAATTTTTGGATGTAAGTTTCATGAAACAAAAAAGATGAATTTATATAGATAAAAATAAAGGAATACCAAAAAGACATCTAAAAGTTTTAAATTAAATATTTGAAGGTTTCAAAGGGCCAAAATAGATAAAAGAGAACAACTTTAAGATTATTAAAAAAAAAAAAAAGGAAAAATTACTAGAATCTTTAATTTAAGACTTTAATTTACATAATGTTAATTTACTCTTTTTATTTACAACATTATCATTTTAATTACAAACCTGACAACTTAATAAATATACATATCTTTATACGATTTTTTTACCTATTTTTTAGCTTAGTTGGCTGATTTTATGTGTTTCATAGTTTATTATTTTTACTTTTTTAATTTTCAATCACAACTATAATTGGTTACATTATTTTTGCCTTTTTTTTTCTCTTTCTTACTTAATACAATTACACTTCTAAATTATTTTTTTCTTTCTCTTCAATTACGTTTTTTTTACACTTTTAGAATAATATAATGATAAAAAAATATATGATATAGAATGGTATAAACTTCTTGTTTTTCTTTATATTATTTAAGTGCAAAATTGGTATATATATGGTGGTAAAATTATGAAATAGAATAGTATAAACATGTTGTTTTTCTTGGTATAAGTTATATGCAGAATAATATATATATATATATATATATATATAGTGGAAATTAGGATATGGAATGGCATAAACATGTTTTTTGGATATAAATTTTTTAATATTGTATACATTATGGTGATAATTTGGTGTACATTACAATTTTTGACATATCGTATTTACTTTGGAATTCTCAATGACAATTATAGTTGAATATGATTTTTTTACTTAAAGATCCTATTTTTTAGGATGCACGTTTCTTTCTCTCATTATTTTGGTTGATTTTTTCAATTCTAGTGCTGATTTTTTGGGGGAGAATTTATTGCCTAATTAATAGGATTTCTACCATTTAACACATTCCTTATTTGATACAATTACTCTTGAATTTGTTCTTCTCTCTCTCCATTTTCGTTTCAATTCTTTCATAAAAAAAATACCAATTCAAGTTCCATTATATAAGTACCAATATATTCAAAGTATTTTAAAAAAAAACATTTGCATACCCTAATAATAACCATTTGCATACCACAATAATTATTTATGTATACTAATTTGTATATCAATAATAGAATTCTTTTAGGTAATATTGTAAAAAAGGAAAATATGAAATCTTATTATGGTGTCAATTGATGTACAATATGATTTTAATATTATTATTTTTTATTTGTAAATACAATTTTACTAGTATATAATTTATTCTTTAAAACGGTATATATTGTGGTATAGAATTTTAAATTACACTAAAACTATATGACACTATTTACGAATAACATTAAAAATTTATAATATAAATGTACCATATAATAATACTAACATTTGTACTATATAATATACCTACAATTATTGAATTCTACCCCATAAAAATGGTGAGTAAGAACTCAAGAATCCTTTCTTGCCTTTTTATAGCTATTTTTCAATTTGCATTCTTTGAACCTTTTCTTTCATTAGTCTACATTTAACTATTCAATACAACTCTTCCTATTCTCCAAACTATTTATTTCTCCTAATTAATTTGTCTACATTTAATTATTCAATGCAACTCTTCCTATTCTCCAAACTATTTAGCAATGAATAGTGCACACTTCAATTTGATTAATGAGTAAATCATTAAGGGCTACATTTAAATTGAACTTTTGAATATCTACAGATTCACAAATCTCATGTAAATTTAAATACAATTACTATTATTTCAATTAGATTGGGTATTTTATTTTAATTAAATATAAGAGAAAATTTGTAATCTAACTTTGAACACTTGTTTTATTTCTCTCCATTTTTATTCATGTGAATACATTCACCTTACACTAATATTCTACTTTGAACAGAAACAACACAAAACAATATATACAAAGATACATATTCCATGCCATAAAAAATGTCATTATTTTTTATTATGAATACATTCACCTCAGTTCTCACCCCATGAATTTCCGTAACATTTCTTTAATTTGATTGAAAACATAATAAGTATCATTATATTTTAGTTGAAATATGAATGTCAAAGAGTGCCCTCTCCTTTTTTGTGTGGATAATTTAGTGATTTTACATTTATGTATATTAATTTTGAAGAGATAATACATTTTATTATTATTTAATTAGATTAGATGTTGTATTTATTACATTGATTAAATATGAGGGTAAAATTATAATCTAACTTTGGAGATAGGTATTTCTCACTTTCAGTAATATATGATATGATATGATGATATGATATATGATATAAAATATGATTTATGATATGATGATATGATGATATGATATAAAATATGATATATGATATGATGATATGATGATATATGTTATGAT